GATGGCTCAGTGGTCTAAAGCACCTACTTAGAACAAGCTTAGCAAAGCACAGGGACCACGGTTCAATCCCCCAGCACCACATGCCAGCCAGCCCCCGCCCCCTTGTGGACTAAGCTGGCCACACACACACACTAATAAAATAAATTAAAAAAAAAAAAGATATAACATCCCCTTAATCATCTAGTTGTATATATGTATCGCCATAGCAACACTACATCACGATTCTAAGCTCCTCATAACCAAGAGAAAACAACAAATAATTGAGGGGCTCACAACCCCTGAGCAAAACAGACTTGTGAGAGTAAAGTTTATGGGAGCCAGAGAAGTGAGCATGAGGATGTTAAACTGTTCAGATCTGCTACATTTGAAGATAATCATTCCAAATTAATAAGGGAGATAAATGTGTATAGTAATTGAACTTTGAAAAAGACAATTTGTTGGGTGAGGTTGTTTAACAATTCTTATGACACAAGTTTCTTTTTTATTAGCATGGTCTCATTATTAATTTTGTCTTTTTTTTTTTGGCAGAACTGGGGATTGAATTTAGGCCCTTGCGCTTGTCAGGCAAGCACTTATTCTACTGAGCCATGTCCCCAACCTCTTTTTAAAAAATCTTTTTGAGACAGGGTCTCATTACACAGCTCAAGATGGCCTTTCACTCACTTTGTAGGCCAGGCTGGTCTCAAACTCAAAATTATCCTCCTGCCTCAGCCTCTGAGGGCTGAGATTACAGGTGTGTACCACCACACCCAGCCTGTAGTCTGTATTTTCTTGAAGTGCTCGGAGTTGAACCCAGAATCCCTGCACTGACTCACATCCCCATTCCTTTCTTATTTTTCTAGCAGGGACTCAGCTTAGGCAGTACTTCTGTTGTGGTCAAGCCATTGTGTATATCATAGGATATTTAACTGCATCCCAGGACCTCTAACCACTACATGACAATACCCGTCTTCCCCTTGTACCACTCTCAGTGAGTTGTAACATGTAGCATTTCCAGACATGTGATGGGTGAGGGGCTGCAAATTCAACCCCTGATTGAGAACAACTGGATTAGACTAAAGATTGTGGTAATTTAATCCCACTAGATTATGCACAGTTTTTTAAAAAATAATTTCTTATAGCATGAAATTAAATGTTGCTCTTATAAGGAACACCAATAAAGCACTTGGCAGGTTTCTATGCATTGTACCTTTTGGTACTGGTAATAGGAAGATTATTTGCTTTTCTGTGCCAGGAGAGCAAATTTTGATGGGAATATCTTCATCAGATTCCTAAGTGGATTTGCAGTTTTGTTTGTTCAAGTATTATAAATAGGCCTTAGTACTGGTATTTATGGGACGATTCCTAGTACCTTTTTTTTTTTTGGCAGAGCCGGGGATTAGAACTCAGGCCCTTGAGCTTGCCAGGGAAGCGCTTATCCCACTGAGCCATCTCACTGGCCCCTATGGGACAATTCTTAGGACACTAGTAAATCTCATCTAAGATAGTTTTTACTCAAGTCATTAAAACTAAATTCAAATTTGTCACCATGGTTTTCACTGATAAGCTTAAAGCATTAGTAGGTACATTTAATGGTGGAGAATAAAAATAATTCTTAAAATCTATTAAATAAGTCTGAAATTAAATCTCTTTAGACACCAGAGGCTATTGTATTGAGTTTTCTTACTGTGCTTAAATTTGGATTTGAAAAACAAGAAGAAATAGGTAAATGTAGTCACAGATGAGAATGGATAATCTTAGAAGGAACGTGCAACCTTAACTGTGTCTGGTCTTTCCAACTCTAGTTAGTTTTTGCCTTTTATTAAATGTTCACCATGGATAATTTATGGTTAGGGATTTTTGTTAATCCACAGCTTGAAGGAAGTGTTGCAACAACTACAAAGTGTAATAGTTTGTCTCAACAAGCTATTTAATGTCCCAGCATGAAGTATTAATTCTAACCTTGAATTTTTTCTAAAAGAAAATTGAATGAAGCTTTTGATTTACAATTTTTGTCTCCCAAATTTGTTGTTTTAAAAACTTACCTATGAACGTCTTACTTATTTCTTCTTTGCACAATTAGATAAAATAGATACATGTGACTTTTCAGTTTATTGGCTTTCTTAATGACTTTCAGTGTCTGAGAAGTTTTTGTCTATTGTTTCCATTGGTTTCTTTTTTTTTTCCTCTTACATAGAGAGACCTACGTAGAACAAGAACAGGGAGAAAACGCTAATGATAGAAACGACAGAGCCATTCGAGTAGCAGCAAAGTGGTACAATGAGCATCTGAAGAAAATGTCAGCAGAAAATCAGCTGCAAGTTATCTTTATAACAAATGACCGCAAAAACAAAGAGAAAGCTGTAGAAGAAGGCATACCAGCATTCACATGTAAGCCTAAATGTAGAAGCACTTGTTGATATTTGGAAATTCATAGAAAAATTATGGGGGCCAGGAGATGGCTCAGTAGAATAAGCGCTTCCCTGGCAAGTGCAAGGGCCTGAGTTCAATCCGGTTCTGCAAACAAACAAACAAAAAATTATGATCGGGCAAGACACTTGAATTTATTAAGAACAATGTTGACTTGTTTTTCAGGTGAAGAATATATAAAGAGCTTAACTGCTAACCCTGAACTCATAGATCGTCTTGCTTGTTTGTCTGAAGAAGGGGTATGTGTCAGTTTGTTCTGTTTTGAAAGGGAAAATATTGAAAATAGCAACCTTGGGATATAAGGCTTGCAGCTGCCAGATTTGGAGACTGCAGTATCAGTAGGCTTTGTTGGCGTAGGAGTTGGGTTCTAAACAACAGGAGTGACTGTAATAGGCTTATGAACATGCCATTCCTGAATGAATTAACTTTCTAAAATAAGGGCTGGCATATGGTGACTCTATTTCTGATGCCAAAATGAATGGAACCCATGGGTGGTTTGTGAATAAGTAGTAGATGTTTGAGAAATAAAGTGACAGGCAGTGCAGATAACATGAAGTTCAAAGGTGGAGGGGAGGGAGTCAGAAGAAGAGCTAGAAGGAGCAGCACCAGATGCTGAGGACCTAGAATCTGTTCTGTAGATCAGTTATCCCTGAAGTGTCTCCCTGAAAGTCTGCTATAAAGATAGCAAGATTTTGACCTCCCTACTTCTTATGGCAGAATTGGCAGAATTAAAGCCATATGAGAATGTGGATAGGGACCTCTCTGGTATTAATTGTAAGAACACTAATGTCAATGTGAAACATGTTACATTGATACCGACTGCAAAATTAGGAGCAGAGAGCTGCGTAAAGGTTACTGCAGCAGTCAGTGGGAGGGATGTTGCTAAAGGACTAATCAAACTCTGAGCCTTCATTTTCTTTTCATGGAATGTGTATATAGTGTGTTTAGCAATAAAAACGTCGTAGCATTGTTAAGAGGATTAAATGAAATAATGGTAAATTTTTGAAATTTTTATTTCAGTGCCTAATATGTAGCTGTAGTAAGTGTAAATGGTAGCTATTATTGTAGAAATGATGTTGTAAACAGAATATTATATGTGTATCAAGTCTTTATGACATCTCTCCTATCCTGTATTATCTTTAGCTATTTTACAAAATTAAAAGTGAAAAGAAAAAACTTGAACTCGATGTTTGGAATACTGTACAGATTTAGGGTTGCCCTGTGTAATATGTAGCCACTCAATGCATATGGATATTTAAATTATAACATTCAGTTTCTCAGTTGGTACTAGCCATTTATAGATTGCTTCAGAGAAAATTGTTCTTAATGGTCATTGTGTTAGATATCACATAAAGAATGTTTCCTTTTTCAAAGAAAATTGCTCATATATAGTATAATATGGATTTAAAAAAATTACCTGATAGTAATGGTAGTTCTATATTAAAAGGCAAAAGATTCATATGATCTGAAGAGAAACCCGAGTATGATAGTTCTGTATTGAATGAACAGAAGATTTACTGCATCTTTTGGTTTGCTTATTTCATAGAATGAAATAGAAAGTGGGAAAATAATATTTACAGAACATCTTCCCTTAAGTAAGCTACAACAAGGCATAAAATCTGGTATTTACCTTCAAGGAACATTTAGAGCTAGCAGGGAAAATTACTTAGAAGCTACAGTGTGGATTTATGGAGACACTGAAGAAAATAAAGAGGCAAGTACGGAAATTTTTATGTAGTATATATAGTAAGTGTATTTTATGCACTAAGATATTTAAAATTTACTATGAAGATTTGTTTTCTTTACATTCCTAATACGTTGCGTTGAAAAAGTCATAAAAACTAGTATAATTAATAAGCAACTGTTTAGCAAGTTGCTTATTGAAAATAAGAACTTTCTGTTAGCCCACTTTTCTGAGACAGTGTCTTGATATGCACTTTAGGCTGGCCTTGAACTCATAGCAATCCTCTTGCCCCAGCCTTCCAAATGCTGAGATTACTGGCATGTGCCACCATACCTTACCTTTTTTTCTTAATGTTTTTATTTCAATCTTTTATTTGGTACAGAGTCTCACTATTAGCTTGGGCTTGTAGTGATCCTCCTTTTTCAGCCTCCCCAGTGCTGGGATTTCAGGTGTGTGCCACACCTGGTTTCAGTGGCTGACACAGCGCACCTGGGGTACTGGGACTGGCACAGCATGTGGTACTGGGGATGGAATCCGTCTCCTTGTGCCTCCCAGGCAGGGGCTTAGATCACTGAGCTAGCCCACTCCCCCCATCCCCCCACTCCCTATCCTCCATCCCCCCTTTCTGGTACCAGGGATCAAATTCAGGACCTTGTACTTGCCAGGCAGATGTTTATGCTGCTGAGCTATCTCCCCAGACCCTAGCCTACTTTTAAAAGTAAAAATCTAAGCCATCAAATGATAAAAAATGAGATGCTTTCATTTTATATATTGTGACCAATTATGGCACATACTATCTGTATATCATTCAGAGGATTTCCAGTGGTCATTGTTTGCCAGATACTATTCTAATGCTTTGTATACAAGATTCCATTTAACCTTTAGCCCAACCTATAAAAGTAGTTCTTATGTTTTCATTTCACTGAGGTTTAAGAAGTTAAACTTTTTCCGAGACTCTTGGTGCTGGGGCTGGGAATATACTCAATAGCACAAGCACCTGCCTGGCATGTGCAAGGTCCTGAGTTAAATTCCCAGTGACTGTATAAGTTATATTAGAGTCATGAGCACAATCTCTGTTTTCTGACCTGTGTTTTTTCTACTTACTGTGTAGATAATAGGAGTGTAACAAAGGAAGACTATTAAACAAAAAAAATACAAGGAAAAAAATATAAAAATTACATAAAGATACTCAGAACATATATAAGCTTCTAGGTGGCTTTTCAGCCCTGCTGTTACAGTATTTGAGCACATGCTATCTGTTGTTTTAAACAGATAATTGTACAAGGACTAAAACATTTAAACCGAGCTATTCATGAAGATGTTGTGGCCGTGGAGCTTCTCCCCAAGAGTCAGTGGGTAGCACCGTCTTCTGTGGTTTTGCAGGATGAAGGGCAACTTGAGGATGATGTGGATAAAGAAGAGGAGAGAGCACACATGGTATGAAACACACAGGCTTCACTTTCATGCCTGGAATTTAGTACAGTACCCCTGTATTACCAGGTCAGCTTCAGAGAGACTGGCTTTCATTGTTTTCAGATCATTGAATGAAATTGTAGCTCTGAAGATTCATTATATATCATACGTAGCTTTTATTTTAAGTATGTAACTGGTTTTCTTTTAATATCATAATTTACTCAAATAAATTGGTTTAAATACAGACTCAGTCAATATGAGTTTATTACTGGAAATTTGTGGCATTCAGTATGGGATCTGAATTACTAAGGTTCAGATGAATAAAAATTTCTGAAATGCTTTTATGTAATGTTAAAATTTCCTCAGTATGTTTCTGAGCCTTTATATTTGGGCATGTCTAAGAGTCCATCTTTCTTACTCTATTACAGAGAGAATGGTGCTTATAAACTAGGTCTACTTGAAATGACATACTGATTTTCCTGCTTTAGAATTATAAAACTAATATAATTGAAATACATGCAACATTCATAGTTCTTCTTTTTCTATCAGTTTTATGGAGTCTTACTATAGCCACTAAGATCTCTTCGAAAAGAAGACATTCTTTGAGACATTTTTGTTTTGGATAAGAAAGAACCTACTGTCTTTTTAAAATGAATAATAAAGGTGCAAAAGTGATCCAGTCATCATAAGCACATAACTAATTAGTGTTAACTAGTATAAAGCCTAGTCTACTGATTCCTGGGGTTGTATGTGTTTCAGTCAGTGAACTCTTATTTAAAACTAGAATGAGTTCTGACATATTAATGTTTTTTAATTGTCTCTTTGTAATGTTTTATTAAATGGTACTGTGCTCATGGCTTGTTTTACCATGTTCTTGCTTGGAATGTTGAAGTCCAATGATTCTGTAGTTTTATGTCATAATTTACTACTTCAATGTATGAGTGCCCATGTATGTGTTTCTAATTTTGAAGGAAAGTCTCATTATACCTAGAAAAATGACCGAAGGTTTTTATTTTTATATTTTAGCTTAAGACTGCTATAAATGAAAAAATGTTAAAGCCTACAGGTAGAGTTGTAGGAATAATAAAAAGAAATTGGAGACCATATTGTGGCATGCTTTCCAAGTCTGATATTAAGGAGGTGAGTAGAGAACATGTTCCTATTGATAAAATAGTGATAAATATTTAATAGAACGTGTAGTGTGCCTTTTGTACTTATTTTCATATTTTGTTTGCATTAACATTTCCTGGGTACTTGCCTAGCGCGTGAAACACCACAGGGTTGATCTCAACACCACCAAAACAGTTTTCCCTAATTTTTTGTAGTCAAGAAGACATCTTTTCACACCTGCTGATAAAAGAATCCCCCGGATTCGGATAGAAACCAGACAGGCTTCCGTGTTAGAAGGACGGAGGATTATTGTTGCTATTGATGGGTGGCCCAGAAATTCCAGATATCCAAACGTGAGCTTGAAGTACTGATTTTTATCTGAGGATATTTAATTAACAGTTTGTGACTAATAGGGTTGCTTTTCATGAAGAAAGAATATTCTGTTATTTAGGATTTTATACAAACCTAGGGATATTTCACATAGTTACTAAATAGAATGCCAAAATTCAGCATTAATTTTATGAAATTCCAGTGTAAATCTTGTGGTTACTTTTATTCAAAAAGCCAAACAACTTTTGGTGATTGAATCTGAAAAAGTATTTGAATCCTGAATGGATTCTAATCCACAAATTTTGAAATTACTGTTTTTGAAGCACATTTTAAACCTGAAAGTTATTAGCAAATAAATAGAAGTGTTGTGATATTAGCATGGCACTCTTACGTTTTTATGGCAAAGTAGTGGCAGTCTTGTCATTTTCAGCTTTGAAGTTAACCAGTGGGGCATTTTAAAAATGCTAAAGGAACATTTAGATATTCTGAGGTGATATGTGCAATGCTAAAGAACTTAATACGATAAGTATTTAGAAGATATGTCTTTCTAATAAAACCTTTTGCTCTTAGGGACACTTTGTAAGAAATTTAGGCGATGTTGGAGAAAAAGAGACTGAAACAGAAGTTTTGTTACTTGAACATGATGTTCCTCATCAGCCTTTTTCACAGGCTGTTCTTAGCTTTCTGCCAAAGATGCCTTGGAGCATTACTGAAAATGTAAGTTGAAAACAGTTGTAAGAGTGACTGTAAATTATATTCTGGCAATTTTAAATTTTTATATTTGTTTTTAAATATATAGAAAGTATGGTTTGTCTTCCCCCGCCTTCAGCTAGATGAGCACTATTATTACATCAATCATTTACTTACTTGCTGAAAGATAAACTTTGCCAGATTGTAGCCCCTAGTAAATGTCAGATTTTTCAAGTGCATAAAAACCACTGGCTACAAATCATGTGTACTTTTCTATCAGGAAATTAAAGCTGAGTTATTTCTGTGCAATGACATGACAGTAGCTGTATTGCAGCTGTGCAAGTGAACTAATTTTGTTGTTTATAATGTGTTTTTTAGGACATGAAAAACCGAGAAGACCTGAGGCATCTGTGTGTGTGCAGCGTGGACCCTCCAGGGTGCACCGATATCGATGATGCTCTGCACTGTAGAGAGCTCACCAACGGGAACTTGGAGGTTTGCACGCGGCTATGGCATTCATGTTATCTGCCTTTCTTACCCTCATGCAATTCTTTAGTTTATTTTCTTTTAATCTAAGAATGTGTGAATTAGTCATGTTAGGGTTTTAGCTACAAAAACTAATAGGATGTATTGCTAAATTTCTTCTCATTTAATCTCCATTGGTATGTCTACTTTATTAATAATTCATGTTACCATCCGTTTATTTTTACCTTTTTCAGGTTGGTGTTCATATTGCTGATGTTAGCCATTTTATTAGGCCAGGAAATGCGTTGGATCAAGAATCAGCCAGAAGAGGAACAACTGTGTATCTCTGTGAAAAGGTAAGTACATTGAATTTAATATGCTTTTAACTCTCGTTGGCACTTGTGAGTTCCTTAATAATCATAGTTTAAAGCAGTATAGAACTTAGCTAAAAGAATAAGGTGGCCTAAAGCACTGGGTTCAATGCAGCTTTTGGTGTTTAGCAGCATATATGATAATTAGGTATAGTTGATCTAAAAGTGTGTGTAGTTCAGTGGTGCCTCAGTTCACGAACCTAATTTTTTCTGTGATTCAGGAAAAAATGGTTACATTTGGGTTCCTATGGGTCATGTTTGTTGCCCAACACAGAGTTTGACAAACAATATTTAGCTTGCTAAACCAAGTTGTCAGAGCACAGAAAGATTTGTGAACTGAGGTATACCTCTAGTTTTCCTTTAGATAAGAATCTCACAAATTTATATAGAACAGTTGTAAATGTGAGGGGAAGGTTAAACTTTGTTATAGACTCATGGTCAGAATTCTCCATGTAGTTTTTTCATAAAAACTTAGTTTCTCTCTTTCTAAATTTTAAAACACTGTAATTTGTTATGAAACATTTGAGTAAGTTAAAGCCTATGTCAGTTATCAAATATCATAGACTTCGAACTTTGGGGACAGCAAGATGGTTAGTACAGAGGATTTAAGCTTAAATGAACTGGTGTGAAATCCAGCTTCTTTTATTACTTGCTTTTTGTAACAATTTTGTGGGAGTCTTTTTTCCACAATCATTTTTTTACTTGATGTTTTCTTAAATCTCCTAGTGAAAAGACCAGAACACTCCTTTTTTCTCCTTGTTCAGTTAATGCAGTTTGAGATTAGAACCCTGCATAAACATATGGACAAACCTAAGTAACCAAAGATTCTTTTTCTCTTTTACAGAGGATTGACATGGTTCCAGAGTTGCTTAGCTCTAATTTATGTTCCTTAAGATGTGATGTTGACAGGTATTTATACATGCTTGTCCAGGAGAACATTGTATTTACTGTTTTAACTGATTCACAACAAATGTTGTCCATTTTAACTTATAGGCTGGCATTTTCTTGTATTTGGGAAATGAATCACAGTGCTGAAATCTTAAAAACAAGATTTACCAAAAGTGTCATTAATTCAAAGGTTAGTTTCATGGTTCATTTCTAATGTTTAAAATAGCTGATACTTCTAACAGTTTTCTAGATTGTTTTTAAAAATTTAGGCTGATAAAAGTGTATTTTTATTATAAAGTCAAAGCTAGTTTTGTGTTCTTCAGTTATTTGCTTAATTCTTGATGTTGCTTAAAACATTGTTTAGTTTATGTGGCAGTGTTCTGTGTTTAGAAACTTATAAAAGCAATTGTTGAGAAGATCAAATAGATGGGGCTGGTGAGATGGCTCAGTGGTCTAAAGCACCTACTTAGAACAAGCTTAGCAAAGCACAGGGACTGCGGTTCAATCCCCCAGCACCACCCCTGGTGGGCTGAGCTGCCCCCCCCCAGACAAATAAATAATTAAATAAAATTTAAAAAAAAAAAAAAAGATCAAATAGATGATTTTATGTCCAACTCAGGAACCCCAGTAATTGAGATTATTTCTACTTGGAAATAATCATTGCTTTAAAAATTAGCGTGTGTGTTGTGTTCTAGTTCTCATTTTTCTCATAGAAGTGATGTGAGAAATCACACCATGCTCAGACATAATGGAGCCAGATTATCTTTCTCATCTTTTTCTGCTTTTTCTACTTTTCTCTAAGTTCTGTCTCTTTTAAAGCAGATTTTAGGGCCAGGGAGATGGCTCAGTGGAATAAGTGCTTCCCTGGCAAGCGCAAGGGTCTGAGTTCAATCCCCGGTTCCGAAAAAAAAAGAAAAAAAAAAAATAAACCAGATTTTATTGGTACATTTTAGATACATACAATGATCACATCATAGAGAATTTAAACCTCTACATGATATAACTCGTTTCTCCCCCCGCTTCTCCCGACCTCCCTACAACCCTCTTGCTTGCCCCATTTACAAAGCTTTGTTTCCCTCTTTTCCTTCTGTTGTTTTGTTTTGCTTTGTCTTTTGGTACCAGGAGTTGAACTCAGGATGTTATGCTTGCCAGGCAGGCGAGGTGCCGCTGAGCTATATTCCCCAGCCCGCATGTTATTCTTTTTTCATTTTTTTTTTAAAACCTTTTCTTTCATTTCTCCCTCCCTTCTCTCTTGTGCCCTTCCCATTTGAACATTTTCTTCCTGTTTCACAATATACAGTTTCTATTTCACTATCATACACTTTCGGTTTCTTGTACCAGAGAAACAGTGTGGTATTTATACATGTGTATCTGATTGATTTCACATAAGGGTATGTACTCAAGGTGCATCCATTTACCCAGAAATGTCTCAAGTGTTTCCTTGTGGTCAAGTAGTACTTCATTGTATAAAAGAACTACATCTTCTTTATCCATTCACTGGTTGGTGGGCACTTGGTGTTTTCCCAAGATTTGGCTATAATAGACTGTGCCTCTGTAAACATAGGTATGCATATATTGCTGTAGTATGATGCATTTGATTCTTTTGGGAAGATACCCAGGAGGGGATCTCCAGGCTCTCTTATATTGTCCTTCATTCTTTCATAAGTATTCCTAGTTGGATGTGCACTAATTGAAATATGAAAGTAGCTATAGCCTAAGCAGCTTTTAATACTATTTTGTTTAATGTAAGTTTCTTTGTGTTGTATAGTACCTCAGTTTTAGAAATGATAGACGTGAAGTATAAGTACTATATGCTATGAATTTTTCTTGTTCTCATTTTTCTGAAGTCCTAGATCTTTTTATGTAGTGGATACATGAGATAAAATTGGTATGGTTAAATAGAAAGTAATTGGGTAAAGTGACATAAGTGCTAGGCCAATTTTTATCACTTATGAGAATTATACTAACGCAAGAGGCTTTTTTTTTTTTTTTTTTTTTTTAGGCTTCTCTTACTTATGCTGAAGCACAGATGAGAATTGATTCAGCAACCATGAATGATGACATTACCATTAGTCTCCGTGGACTCAATAAACTCGCTAAAATTCTGAAAAAAAGAAGAATTGAGAAAGGGTATGTTTCAAAACTATGAATTAGATGTGTTTTACTTATTGGGATATTAAGATAACTTGGATTATTTGGAGTGCTTAAGTATGACAGTGCTGAATTATTTATAATAGGCTGGGGGCTGGAGAGAAGGACCTGAATTTGATCCCTGGTTCCAAATGCCGTGTCGGACCATGAACCCCGGGTGCTGTGCCAGCTGCACACACCTGAATTCCCAGCACTGGGGAGGCTGAGACAGGAGGATCACTACAAGTCTGAACTGCGTAGTGAGACCCTGTAGCAAATAAACAAATAAATGATTTTTTAAAAATTTAAAATAGGCTGAATCAAGACAAGTGAAGACACCTAATTTCTTCTAGTTAACTTAAATATTAACAGCTTGATTCTGTTCTAATGGTGAGAAATTGCCTTAGTTACTTTCCCATTGCTGACACAATTCGCAGCACCCACATATTATAAGAGGAAAGGCTCATGGTTTGTAGAAGAATCAGACCATAGTTGACTGGCGCGGGCAGACCAAAGGCAGGAGAGCTGCAAGCAGCCGTACAAGCCAGGCTTTCTCTACATTTCCTGCAGGTGGCAAGGCTTTAGATCGGTCACACTCACACTGGGCTCCCTCATCCACAGTATCAGTACCCCACCCTTGATCTACACTCACATACCCTGCTCCTACTATCTTTGGAACTCCCTAGTGTGACTTCGTTAGCTTTGGGGGAACATCTAGATGGGAACCATAACAAGTTGTGCTAAGAAGTTACGAGTCTAAAGTTCTCTAAAAAAATTTCAGAAAGGCAAAGACTTCTTAAGACTTCTATAAATTGTTTCTAACTTTAACTACAAATGGTTTTCAGATTAAATATTTGTTTTCAGGTGTTTATAAAGTAAATGCATACAGAGTCCTCATTGTGTGTTAGAGTTGGAAAAAATTATACATTGTCTAGAATTGTATCATGAGCAGTTACTAAGAAATTTTCATAGGTGATGGTAAATTCTATTATCAGTGCTAGTTCATAAAATGTGGCTATTTCCTTTTTTTTTTTGAGACAGGGTCTAGCTATGTAGTTCGGGCTAGCTTTTAACTCACTAGGCAGCCCAGGCTGGCCTTAAACTCCAGGACAATCCTCCTGTCTTAGCCCCCCAAGAGCTGGGATTATAGGCGTGTGCCATCATGCCTGGCTTCCTATTTACATTTAAGTTCATTAAAATTAACTAATTTTCCTGTCTTACTGGCCTCATGTGGCTAATAACTATCATATTTGACAGTACAACTATAGGATGTTTCCATCTGAAGAAAATTCCACTTTACACTTTATAGTGTTGTTTTGGGGGATTATGCTTAGCCATTGCTGTTTCTCCTCACACCTCAGTTTTCTGACTTTTTCTTCTGATCTTCAATATGTAGTGTGAGATTGTTTAAGGATTACATATATGTATTAAAGCCTAACAGATGTTATCAAACTAGACCAAAGCTCTTGCTCAAACTTAAGCTGGAAATAATTGGACTTTTTTTAGGACATAAAATGACAGTCATTCAGTAAATTACCTTTTAGTCTGGTAGATTAGGTATCAGAAACAAATTTGTAAAGAAATTTTTAGACAGTTTCTTTAAAAAGCAAAGTGGGACCTGGGGATGGCTTAGTAGTGTAGTACATAGGTACCAGGTATCAGGGCCTAGATTCTGTCTCCAGCATTGTGAATGAATGAATGAATGCATGCATGCGTTATAAATAAAACAAGCTGAAGTCACTATTTCTGATATTTTTATAGTAAGAGGTACAAATTTGTATTGGTAACTAGATTTTCAAAAATAGAAAATTTTTTACTCTGTTTTTTTCTAAGACTGTCATCTATTCCTAAAAGATAGCTTTGAATTTCTTAGTTGTAGAGTGAATGGAAAAATAGTGACCTCTTTTACCTTTAATTATTAATACTTGGGTGAAAAGGAAACATTTTTACATGTTCTGTGAATATAGTATTGGACCTTATGTGGAATCTTGTACTGTATAACAAAAAAGGAATATTTGTCAGGATTCCTTTTTTAGTGTCCCTTTTGTAGGTTTTCTAATAAAGATGAGGAATAGAAGATGAGGAGAACTTAAAATCTCACCTAACTTCCCTCATCTCATTTTTTTCTTCCACATTGTCCAAGATCGCCTGAAGTTAGGTTGACGGAGCTGATTTCAGTGAAACTAGCTTCAGGTATAAACATTAGACTTACGTGTGTAAGGTTTTTAAAATTTCTTTTCAAAGGACAGCTTGACTACTCACTAAATGAGCCATTTGTGTGACTCCTGTAGCATAGTACATTATCTTACACATGGCTCTCAGATATGGTAGCCAGCAGTGCATGCAACATAATGGGAGTAGCAGTTGATTCTGTTCTAAGCAACATCTTTCTGTTGCTTGATGTGGAATGTACTTAATAACTGTCCATCTTCTGATGTAATACCACCCCACCGTGGCAGCCTCTCTTTGCCTCTGTTTACCTCAACTGAATACTATATATGTTTTCAGTAAATAAAATCTCACCTGTCATTTTTATGATTGCAAAGTTGGGTAGCTCAGTAAAAACCTAAGTTGGGTATGGAGTATATTCAAGCTCTCAGAAGCAGTTGCTATTGTTCATGTGTTAATTTAATTTTAAATCTATGAAATACTAAGCTGTTCCTGAAAACAAAATGTAAAAACCTTCAAATGAACAATTCTCACACGCTTAATACTTAATCATCTTCTATTGTATGTATGCAGGGTCTCACTACATAGATCGGACTTGTAGTGATTTTCCTTTTTTCAGCCTCTCAAGCACTGGGATTACAGTGCGTGCCACCATGCCCTGGGGGCCTGGCCACTGTGCTTTGCCTAAGCAGGTGCTTTAGTCCACTGAGCTACCTGGCTGGCCCTCATTTTCTACTTTAAAGGTATCATCTCCACAGTTTTATTTTTATTACTGGCTCATTTCACTAATTCATCTCTTTAATTTTTAATTAGGGCTTTGACACTTTCTTCTCCTGAAGTTCGATTTCACATGGACAGTGAAACTCATGATCCTATAGATCTACAGACCAAGGAACTTAGGTGTGTGATTTTTTTCTGATGGACAGTAGACAAAATTTTAAGTGTAATGTCTAGTACTTACATTAATAATAAGACATTTGTATTCAAAATATTTGTTTTAGTTATGATTTCTATGAATTTGTACTTGGCTTATGAACTATTTGGAAAAGTAAATATACTTACTTTAGTTTTGCTTATAAAACTGGGTAGTTAATATAAAAATTTCCAATATGACTTGCTTTGGTTTGCTTGGTTTCTGCTTTGATTTTTTTCAGTAGTAGTAGTTATAATAAAAGAGTACCTTGATTAATTGCCTAGGTATTTAGTATAAAGTACACAGAGGTACAACAAGGTACTGATAAATCCACAGGCTTGGAAGCCAAACTCCAGGTTTGTGTACCATTTCTGCTGCTACTGCTTACACAGTTTCCAGTAGGTTACATACCTGCTTTACATGCTTCAGTTTCCCTCTGTAAGCTGGTTTGTAATGATACCTGCCTGTAGGATGTTCTGAAGACTGTTTGGATATTAGCTGTTGATGTATTTGTGTTATTTAGTTAAGATGTAGGATACAAGGATAATTTTGCTCAATCAGGTTAGGCTTCTTTCCACATCTCTTACATGAGGAAATTACAAAATTAGATAGATATGACATATGATATGATATAATATGATATAGATATATGCATACACTTCTCTAGTAAATGAGCAAGGGGTGAAGATTGGAATATACTCAGATTTTTTTTTACTTAGGAAGAGTGTGTGCTTTAGAGTCAGCTAAGATTTCTAAAGCTTCGTTAGACTGAAAGATCTGTACAAACATGTCTCATCAGTACTAACATTGAGCTCAATATTGAACCTTTAATGAAAGTAGAAAATCACCCGTTTCTTTTTACAAAAAGGAAGCATATGACATTTCTAAGGTAATGACTCCATATAATTGGAGATCTTCCTAATTAAAAATTAATATATTTTAGAAATCAAGAAATTAGATGTTATTAAAAACAAAAACATGAATGAAAGTTTAATACTGCATGTTCAGTGTCTTGAGAGGAAATAGGATATACTCTGAAGGCAGATAATTTATTAAACTAAGCTCTAACTATTCATAGAATAATTACAGAGGTATACAGAAAAAAAGCCATATCAGATTGATTAAAGTTTTGAAGTCATATTGTATGGATTTAGATTCTGGTAAATATAGTAAAGCTTTCTTTTTTTTGAGTGCAGCTTGTAAAGTCTTATCATAAAAGGTGTCCTGACAGTCAGTGCACAAAAAGAGATTGTTAGAATCGTGAGAAGAGAGAAAAAAGGGATTGCTCAAAGTACGCATTTGCATACATCTAAATGTTGGTAGGAAGTGCTTTCATTATGTTGGTGGAAAAGAAGACTTGGGGAAGAGTAAGGTAGAAGAAAGGCTCAGCTTCTCTTTTCTGGCTTAATGCCTTTTCCATTGCAGAGAAACAAATTCCATGGTGGAAGAATTTATGTTACTTGCCAATATCTCTGTTGCAAAAAAAATTCATGAAGAATTTTCTGAACATGCTTTGCTAAGAAAACATCCTGCTCCACCCCCATCAAATTATGAAATCCTTGTTAAGGCAGCTAAGTCCAAGGTAAGATCACCTAGCTTGAAAAATTATCTTTGTGTTATGGTGTAACCATTGCACTATAGAATTTATATTCACCTCTCCATAAAAGTTGGGTTTCTTGTAGTAAAATATACAAATAATTTGGGGGCCGGGGAGATGGCTCAGTGGAATAAGTGCTTCCCTGGCAAGCACAGGGGCCTGAGTTCAATCCCCGGTTCTGCAAAAAAAAAAAACCCCAAAAACCCAAAAACAAGTAATTCTTGTTCTGAAAAACAAGTCACGTATCTTGATTATGGTTGTCTTTTCTTACATTGATATTAACATCATCTGCTTAATGTCTTTAGTGTCTTAATCCTTTAATATCTTTTTTTTTTTTTTTTTTTTTTTTTTTTTTTTTCTTTTTTTGTATTTTAGGGAAGGGTCTACTAGGTGTTCAGAGTCTCACTATTAGATTGCACTTGTAGTGATCCGCCTATTTTCAGCCTCCCAAGAGCTGGGATTGCAGGCAGTCCTTTAATGTCTTTAAGAAGTACCAAATGCTAAAGCCAGATGTTTTAATCTAGATGGTTATTTGCAGTGTGCTATACACATAGTTTCTATGTCTCTGTCCTTTGAATATAGTGCTTCTTTGAACTGCCTAACTTTAGAGATTTAATCATTTGTTTTGTTTCTTTGCAACTCAGTTTAGCCCTCTTTATATCATGTTTTTCCCCCTCTGTCTTTTTTATTATGTATTTAGTACAAGGTCTCACTATGCAGCTTGGTCTCATAGTGATCCTTCTGTTTTCAGCCTTCCAGCGCTGGATTACAGGTGTGTGGCTCACCACCCAGGGGTGGAACCAGCACGGCACGTGGTGCTGGTGATTGAACCCTGCGCCTGTGCTTGCCTAAGCAGCTGCTTACTCAGCTTAGCTGTCTTGCTGGCCCTGTGTCATGTTTTTTTGGAAAAAACAAAAACAAAAAATAAAAATAAAAAAAACACAGCTGTTTATTGATCTCATACATAGAAAAGAGGAAGAATATTAAAAAGCCACTATCTTTTCAGCCCTTGCCTCTGGTTAGTAGGGCTTTCTTTAGGTTTGCCTGTCCTTGAGATGGCATAAACTGATTTCAGTTTTCCTTATGTACTGAGCAGGCCTCATCTTTCCCATCTCACAGATCTTTGGAGGGGTAGCAGTGGGTCTCAGGACGCTGTTTTAACAAACTGGTGATTTCCAGTTTTAGCTCAGACCTTCATGGTTTACTTTGCCTTACTGTTCATCAGAACTAAAAAAAAAAAAAAAAAAAAAAAAAAAAACCTTCTACCATTTTTTGGAAATAAAGCAGTTGAAGGCAGAGACTTGAAATATACTTTTTCTAAAAAAAAAAAAAAAAAAAAAAAAAAAAATAGGTCCGGCCAAATAGCTCAGTGGATTAAAGTGCCTGCAAAAAGGCACAAGGGCCCAGGGTTCGAGCCCCAGGCCTGCCATGCTGGACCTGCCCCTAGGGCACGCTGAGACTGGGCATGGTGGTGCACGCCTTTAATCCCAGCACTTGGGAGGCTATAAACAGGAGAGTCACTATGAATTGGATCTAGTAGTGAGACCCTGAACACCCTGTAGACCCTTCCCTAAAATACAGAAAAAAAACCCCAAAAACTAAACCTAATCTGTACAGATTACTGTCCTGAGTTAGTGGTTTTTCTCATTGTCTTCTTAAAACCTAGCTAGAGGAAGAAAGATTTAATTATGTTTTAAGGATTTTCCTGAAGTAGAATAGAGTAGCTTTTTAGAAAAATGTGGAGGAAAGAATTGCAAGATTCCAAAAAGTGTGCAGATCTTTGATTCTCCTCACCCTGACAGGTATATTAGCAAGCACAAACTAGACTTAGAAATAGCTCTGCTCCTACCACCCTCTGTCCTTTGAAACTTCACCATGGTCTTGATACTTCATATCTTCAGATGCACTTAGGAAATTTTAAGCTTTGGTTTTGTACAAAACAGTCCTTATATAATACAAAGTTACTTTTAGTTCTCCTAGCTAACAGATGAGAGGTGTGAGTTGAAATTATCTAGTGAAAACCACTGTGCTATGTGTGTTGAGAATATAGTATTTAGGTTTGTTGTTTTTGTTCTGTTTTTCTTTTGCAGTATTGGGGATTTAACCCAGAGCTTTCACACTGAGATGGTTTCAGCCCTTTGCTGTTTGTTTTTGAGATAGAGTCTTGCTGAATCATTAATTGCTCCAGCTGTGCTCAAACTTTTGACCTACCTACTTCTTTCAGCCTCCCAGAGTGCTGGGATCACAGAAGTGCACCACCACACTCAGCTATTTAGTTTTATTTTTGAAAATATGATATTTGATAATAGGTGTATTTCATGTGATACTTTTCTCCTTTGTTTTGTACACAGAATTTGGAAATTAAGACTGATACAGCCAAATCATTGGCTGACTCTTTGGACCGAGCGGAATCTCCTGCTTTTCCCTATTTAAACACTCTGTTGAGAATACTCGCTACCCGCTGTATGATGCAAGCTGTGTACTTCTGTTCTGGGATGGACAGCGATTTCCATCACTATGGCTTAGCATCCCCGATATACACGCATTTTACCTCTCCTATCCGAAGGTATGTTTTCCTTATGAAATTAAAGGACATAGAGTTAATTTTGCATTTAAGAGGCGCTTATAAAGCTCGTTGGCGGCACATTCTCCTTTATGCATCTAGGTATGCGGACATCATCGTTCATCGGCTGTTGGCTGTGGCCATTGGGGCGGACTGTACTTATCCAGAGTTGACAGACAAACACAAGCTCGCAGATATTTGTAAAAACCTCAATTTCCGGCACAAAATGGCTCAGTATGCTCAGCGTGCATCAGTGGCTTTTCATACGCAGGTATCTTTGTTAATTCAGTCATTCCCTGAAAGATAAAGAAGTTCTGTTGCTTGTATTTTTATTTCATTTTAAAATTATTTTTGTGAATTTAATATACTTTAAGACCCTTAAGTAAGACTGTATGGTATTTTACAGTTATTTTTCAAAAACAAAGGAATTGTAAGTGAAGAAGCCTATATCCTTTTTGTCCGAAAGAATGCTATTGTGGTGTTAATTCCAAAGTATGGTTTAGAAGGGACGGTTTTTTTTGAAGAAAAGGACAAACCAAAGCCACAGCTTATTTATGATGATGAGGTACAGTATTTCTAATGTTTTATATTCTTGGGATGGTAGAACTGTCTTTGATCACAAATGGTAATTATGCAGTGTAATATTCTGTATTCTAAAGAATTGAATCTCCAAATACATGGCAGATTATCCATGCCAGCTAAGCTGTGGTTTTATGCCCAGAATTTCTTACCTCATGATATCTTCCCATATACAAATGTCATATTTTTTATGGTATGTAAGATTTTACTTTAGGTTGCTAGATAAAATGAAGAGATAAGACCAGGGATAATAGCACAGTGGCATAAGCACCTGCTGGCAATTGCAAGGTCCCAAATTTGATCCCTTGTACCAAAAATGAAGAGATAAGTGGTTGCTTATAAGCTCAGGGAAGGAATAATTTTCTCTCCTTTTCCCTCCCCTTCCCCCCCCAATTCTCTCTGTCCATTCTCTCCCCCTTTCCCTCTCCCCTCTTCCCTCTTTCCCTCCCATTCTGTCCTCCCTCTCCTCTCCTTCCCTCTCTGTCCCCCATTCCCCCCCCCAGCCCCTCACTCCCCATCTGTCTCCATCTCTTTTTTTTTTCTTTTCCCTGTCTGTTTTGAGACAGCGTTTTACTTCATAGTCCAGGCTGGCTTCAAACTCACAGTGATCCTTCTGCCTCAGCCTCCCAAGTGCTGGGATTTCAAGTATGCACCACGCCTGGCTTTTCTTTTCATAACTTCCAGTTGCTCTAGTTCCATAAACTTAGTAGACTTAGAGCTCTGAAAGGTTACTTAATCTGTACCCAAGTATTTTGTGTTCCTCTACTGGGCCCAAAATTCTCCAATTAGTGGGGTGAGAATCTTGAGGTTACTGTACCTTAGGTCTAGCTTATGGAGAGGAGGAAGTGTGCAGATAAATATGTCATGTTTATGTGAGACTTCTAGATTTATGTTTTGTTATACTGAATAACTATATTAATACAAGTAACTTTTAAGTTTAATTTTTTACTAAGAAAAGTAAATTATAAATAGAGTCTTGGGTGTAGGAAGAAATTAAGAATAAAATGTGAATTTTTTTTTTAGACACCTTCACTTAAAGTAGAAGGTACGATATTCCATGTGTTTGATAAAGTTAAAGTGAAAATCATGTTAGACTCATCTAATCTTCAGCATCAGAAAATCCGAATGGCCCTGGTAGAACCTCAGGTGAGACCAAGCTCCCTAAGTTCTCTATTACAGTAGAAAACACTGAGTATTTGCGGGGGCGGGGGGGGGGGGATTTCTGTGCGCTGTTGGAATTCAGTCAAGTGTGGAGTCCAAGGAGCTGCAAAGCATGTTCTGTTTTCTCACGCTTCCCTGAGGCCATAGGATCCCAAACATCTGAGATTGTTCTGGGGTCCTTGGGGTCAGAGTGCCTACATCAAAGACCTTTAAGGTCTTCTGCCAGTCTTTTTCTCTATAGTTTTGTATTCTGCACTGTTGAAGGTCACGTGTATGTTCTTCACTTAAAATACCGGTTTTTAACCTGTGTCTATTCCCGACGCTCCTGAGGCCCTGATGTTCTCGTACCAGTCAGTGACTACATTGGGTAAATTGAGCATAAAAAAGAGCTTTTAGCTAAGAACACTGCCCAGATAACAAGCTTCTCTCCTAGAGATTGTCTGCCATTTAACATTTCTGCACGATTACTTGGTGTAAAATATGTGTACTTGGTGCACAGAACCTTTGTAGCTCCTTTTCCTCCCCTCTACCCCTACACCCTACACATTTTCAAAATAGAAGGGCAGTTAGAAAAGGAGGGTGAGATTTATTTCTTTCACTCACCTTACTTTTTCCTGTTTGTACTGCTTTAGATACCAGGAATAAGCATTCCTAATGAGATTTCAAACATGGACATTAATGAACCAGAGGAGAAGAGGAGGAAGCTTGAAAAGTAGTTACTTTTAACAGCAAACTTCAAAGATGGATTTCCTTTATAAAAACAACTTGAGAGACTACTTCTGAGCCTCTGTGATAGTTTGTTACTTTTAAATACATTTTAATTTCAGAAATTTGCATTTTTATTAAACTGTTGACTGTGTCTGTCTTATCGTACTACTTTGTTTCTGGATTGAGCAGAACCATTTATGCAGAAAAATTCAATTGAATATCCATCACTTAAATAGTGACAGGATAGCAACTTCAGGGATCTGTAAAGATCATTTAAATGGAACACTCATGTACTCATTGAAGAGCAGATTAATTTTGCGTAAGTACTTCAATTATTTAATATTGGTTAAAAAAAAAAAAAAACAACTATTTCCCTGTAGGGAGAAATAGGAGATTTTTAGAGGCAAGGAGCAGTCCTTCCTAAGTCTTGAAAGCTGTCTGTGTTTGATATGTAATCTCCTTTGCCATTTTAATTTATTAAACTTGCAGTAAGCACTCCCCCACTATTATCACAAGTCTCCCATGGTCCTTGAAAGGCTGTTTGGGAATTGCTAGGAAGACAAATAGAATATTTTGACCTGACTGGAAGAAGTTTTTTGTTACCAGGTAGTTAAGTATCATGATCATCCTTGACCTTCAGCTCGTGTCTCCCAAAAGAAGGTATTAAAATTCAGAAAGAATGGGCTGGGGAGATAGCTCAGCGGTCTGAATGCCTGCTTGGCAAGCACAAGGACCTGGGTTCCATGCCTGGTACCTCATGCCATGCCAGCCTGGAACCACTAAAAACCAAGCATGGTGGTGCATGCCTGTAATCCTAGTGCTGGAGAAGCTGAGACAGAAGGATCACTACGAGTCGGAGCTACAAAGCAAGTCCCTATAACAAATAAAATTTTAAAAGCCTCAGAGAATAGAGACACTACATGAAATGTCTCGTTACCTGTAGAAAACACAATGGCTTTTAAATTGCAGTTGTACCAGATTGCATAGGAGACTTGTATTGAGGGTATAATGAAAGGAACCAATTAAAGTAAACATTTGGTGTGCCACATTGACTACTTCCCTTGCTAACTAGATGATATTAAATTGTTGTCTCCAAGAATACTTGGAGAAAGGGTTACCTTATTACCCCATGCTTAGTCAATTCCAAAGCACACATGGTGCACATTTCATCACGTCAGGTAAACTACTGCCTTCAAGGAATTTGCAGTCCCTGAAAAGATGCAAATAAATCTGTGGGCATAATGAGTATAACTGCAGTATCTTACAGTCATGTGGGCACTCAAGTAACTGAGGTAGACATGTTTCACTGAAGGAAAATAACCTCCAATAGAGGTTATCTTGGGTCCATGGAAACTGAATAGGTCAGTGACTGATACAGGCCTGGAGTGTAAAGGAACAAACATTTTGTACTTTGCTGACTTGTGCAGCAGTGGCACTCAATTCTGCTGCTTTAGGCTTTGGACGGTATTTGAACAAATAAACATGGTGGGGTTCCACTAAACCCTCATTAATGTTTAAGTTCTATGTGTTTGTGTGTCCCTCAGGATTACTCACTTGAATTTCCTCCACCATCCATTTAAAAATTGAGTAGGCCATAGTTTACCTGCTAGTGGACAACTTTGTGGCAATGTAAAGCTGTTGATAATCATGTATCTTATTTTTTCAACATTTGGTGAGATGAGGGAATCAGGGGAATGGCACTCAGAACCAAATCTCAATTTAGTAAAGATGGGAAAGGAACCTTGTTTTTTTCCCCAAGGCATCTGCTTTTGGTAATTTCAAATGGTTCATTTCTAGCGCCAGGACTTATGCGAAGCAGCTTATATGCACATACAGTGGGCCCTCTGAGTTTCTGAATCTACATGTTAAAAATATTAAGGAAAGAAAACTGTACTAAACATACGTAAGCTTTTTTTTTTTTTTTTCAAATTTATTCATTTGGTACAGTCTCGCTATGCAAATTCTGATTCATCATGATCCTCCTTTATCAGCCTCCCCAGTGCTGGGATTATAGGCACGTGCCACCATGCTGTTTCACTGGCTGGCTTAGCACACGGGGCTGCTGCATGGCATGTGGTACCCAGGATTGGACCCAGGTCCTTGCACTTTCCAGCAAGTGCTTAGACCGCTCAGCTATCTCCCCATCCCTATATAGGGTTTTTTTTTGTTCTCAATACAGTGTACCAACTGTTCACACAACATTGTACGGCACTTGGAAGTGATGTCGCAATTATTTGAAGTGCATGGTAGACATGCCAAGGTTATTTACAAAGACTGCCCTTTTAGGGGGAAACTGGATTTTCCTATCCACAGGCTCATAGCACCAGTTCCCTATGGATGAGGCATGACCATTTCGCTCAAATCTGAAGAAACCGTGTTAGGCAGGGCTGCTATCCTCTTTTAGCTTGAAAAAACTGGAGTTTATGGTCTAGATCAAGTAGTGACAGGAGGGATTTCATTCTAGATTACAAGCACGACTTCATTTCTTGAGCTGTGCTATTCAAAAACAGTACCCAGGATGCCTCCTATTTTTCAGGGTCGAGAACTTAGGTATAGCAGTTACTTTTTAGATTAATTTTTAAAAAGGCGAAAGATTTATACGATCTGAAGAGAAACCAGAGTATAGATTAATTTTTAGATCTTAAAGCCTGTGTGATTAACACAAGGAAGATTCTTGTTTTCATTTGAAAGTTAGCAATAAGGTATGGAATATGTAGAACAAAGAAGAAAATGACAGTGACAATGTGTCTTTATTTTCTAGGGCTTACTGTACCTCTTTGAAAAAGTTTTTTTAAAAAGTAGTAGATATGAATATACATTTGCCACAGATATTCCAAACATAGCAGTCTACTGCCAATACAGGATCCCCACCTCTTCGTAGCTGTGAGCCCAGCAGGAATTCCACTGACCTCTAGTTCCACTGTTGGTCTGATACGCCGTTCTTTCCTTTCCCTAGCCAAGTCTGACCTCCAAGGGCTGTCCCTGCTGTAGGAATGGTGTTGTATTTACACTGGCTTCCATATGTACTCACAGCAATGCACAAAATGATGCTATTTACATTGCCCTTCTAGTATTTATGCTTTTAAAAGAATTAAGCAGTTGCTATGGAAAGTAAGATTTTCCTCATAGAAATGAATAGTTCAAGAATTACAATTACAGGAATATCTATTGAATGCCTACCTCTTCAATCCATTTTATATCTGTAAGAGTTTTATTACATAGATTGTAGTTGAAGTACGTGCATATAGGTTCACAGATAAAAAGTATATGTGTGTACCTTCAGTTTTTAAAGTTTTCTCAAGTATTCAGAACAAGAGCTAAATTCTGACCTTAGCAGTTCACTGATCCTGTTGGGACAGGACAAGTCATCAGCTCTGTCACGTTTTTAAATTATTAAACACATCACTCAAGATATGTACAAAAATATTTATTGATAAAAAGTAGAACTATATTCCAGTAACTTCATGTTATGGGAGCTTTTCTACTGTTTATCCCCAAGCCCTTGATTTTTCACATTGAGGGAATGAAGCTAAGAATGATACTTGAAGCAGTTTTTTCCCAGTTACCATCACATTATTGACTCTTTGTGAAAAATAATACGCGAGGAGCTTCAGCAGCGGGCTTTGCTTCTGACAGGTACTCTGCGGGCTGCTGCACAGGATGGACTTGATGCTTCCACTTAATGCCTCTTCTGTGGTCTTACTGTAGGAAACAAAATGCCTTGGCTTCAGTTTAAATAGGTTATAGCAAAACAAAAGGGATGAAAAAAGTTAGGATGAACAATGTACCAGCTCCCCACAATGTCATGACGGACTGCAACTGTACTAAGAGAATGGAAAAGGGCAAAATGAAGAAAAAGATGTCCTTTAAACTTTATTTGAAGAGTTATGTTTGGATGCATGTTTGCTTGTGTTTACAGTGCCTATTAATAAACTGGCCTGTAAAGTCTAAGGCTGTCCTGTCCAGTGCCTAAAGTTTCAACAGTCATCATATTTAGAAGGCTCAGTAATTTCTAAATTAACACGTACACCTTTGTCATATCTCAAATGCCTACATGTAATGCAAATCTTTAAAGGCTTTTGGATTTTAAGAAAACAACTCAACTTTAGGTGTCTTTAATCTCATGTACAATCTTTCAGTTGTACTATTTCTCTAATAATCATATTCTTCTATTTCATTTTAATTGTAAGGATCTTATTTCACTTGGTATTCCAAATAAAGAGTTAGAAAAGTGTTCGGATTAAAAAACACCGCCTGCACCTATTATATGAAGGCAACAGGGTAGGGCATAAACATGACAATTAAAACTTTAAACAGACTGGGGAAGAGAAGGCTGAAAAAAGTCACAGTAAATACTGCTGGCCTGGACCACAGGAAGCTTGGTGCTTTCGCCATACCTTTGCATTACAAACTTGAAATTTGGTCTCCACTTCCAAGGTTTGTGCATCACTTTCTTTGCAGCAACTTTCTACTATGACAGTATCCATAATATTGCTTCCACCAGTCTGTGTATTGTAGCCACTATCCATCTGACAGGACCGAAAAGAGAAAAAGAAAAAACCACAAAAACTGCAAACTAAGTCACTTAGGTAATTTACATAGAGTTTATTGGGAGGAAATTAAAAACTGAATCATTGTGTACTACCTTTCACTATGTCTGAACAATACAATGTAATAATGTTCATCATATTGAATGAGATGAAAAGTAATACACAAAAGGAAGGTCTACCAGAACTTGCTGTTTGAGGTATGACCTTACAGTTCCTCCCAATGAAGTGGATCTTCTCATGTCCTTTGCAGTCAGTGAACTAGCCATGCAGAGCATGCCTGCCTGTTACTTTGTGAACATACCCATAAAGGCAGGAATACAATCAACCCCATATTCCAGCTCATTTTATAAGTAGCTTCATTGTATTTATTTATTTAACATCTAACTAAAATCTACATAAAAGGCATGCCGCCTTTAGTTAAACACACCAACACACATGTTAAAAGGTAAGTTACAGGGCTGGGAAGATAGCTCAGTAGAGTATGTGCTTGCCTGGCAAGCATAAAGTCCTGAGTTCAATCCCCAGTACCACCAAAAAAAAAAAAGTAAAAAAAGTTACATTTACTCATACTTTGTTTACAATAACTTACACGTGTAATGGCTCTAAACATTCAAGTTTTCACATTAATAAAAACTGTTGTACTCCAAGACAAATTGTTCTGGCCCAAACAACAAAGAGTCTACTCAAAATAGATCCTTTT